TTAAACTTTCAATTATCCAGTTGGAAAAGACTAAACAGCTTTATCTATTTAATTGAGCTTGTAGCATGTTGATGATATCTAAAATTTAGCAAATTGTTCTGGGGTCCGTGCGGACCCCAGGTGTACAGATTAATCAGTCCGGGAAGGTGTACTGTTAAGGGTTAAGAAAGATATGGCATTTGTTTTGGATGACCTACCAGCTACTGCATTGAAAAATATATTTTTAAAAATCGAAACGCATCGTAGTAGTCAATTGGTTATCTTATTTCGAATATGACAGAGTTTACATAGATCGGATCTCCTTCCATGAAATTAACAAAAAAAACTCAGTAGTATATTCCTTAATCAGTGACTATTTTGATAGGTAGAAACACGTAACTCGAAATTTTCGATGTCCACTGTACGTCTGGTTCACGCAGTGACCTAGTCTCGCGAAAACACGAGACTAGGACGAGACTTGTGTGGATCTTCTGGCCTCCCCTGCCTTCTTGCGGACTAGGGGTAGGTAGGACTTGGGCAGCTCCCAACCTTCATTGCGATTCATCCCGGCACGTTCCAACTGGATGTGGACCGCTTCCTGTTCTCGCGAGACTAGGTCACTCCGTGATCAAGATGTACAGTGGACATAAAAAATTTGGAGGTACGTGTTTCTACCTTTCAAAAGAGTCACTGATTGAGGAATATACTACTAACTGATAATTCTACCTGACTGATGAACCTCTTCAACGACAAAAAAACTTTCTATTTACAAAGCATACAGGATTTTTCCATCTATGAAAATGTACACTTACCTGTAACCATTGCCCTATATTGTGAAACCCGGGTGTCCAGGCGCCCCAAGCACGAATCTCTTTTAACCGCCCGTATTTAGGATATGCGTTAGGGTTTCCGTAATTGCTTGTAGCGAGGCGCTCATCAGGTATGGCACCAGATTCCATCCCAAGCGGATCCTGGCAGACTGGGAAGAAAAGACAAATGTCTGTTTGGAAGCCCTTAAGTCGTGGCATTTGGCGAATCGGTGTTTGTTGCGCAACCAAGTTCCCGGTACCCTTACATGCCCAAACATTGTGTCCCTGGGATTTTACACGACTTTCCTCACTTAAACCACATGTAGAACTGGATACCTAGCTTTGGGTAGGCTGTCCCCTTAGATAGGACGTTAATTATACATAAATGGAGTTCCCGGTCGTCTTTGATCAAAACATCTGGAGCACGTTAACGAACCGAACAGGCTTATTATAAAGGACAGGGAGTGATTAAAACTTCACAGTCTAATGGCCGCACCTGGGATGGTATGGAGGTCACCTGAGTTAATGCCGACAGGCAGTTGCAGTAGACACTATCAATATTTAGCCCCATCAATTGTAGGCTTGCCCTACAACCGCAAGCCAAATTTATTATTCCAAATTTCTAACCCGATATCAACAAGCATTCAGATTACTCAGCACTATATTACCACGAAGTTTGCATACATTATCATACCACATGTAGTTTACCCAACTATAATTATTTACTCCACACACCTGTGGTAAATGTTCCGTTGATAACTCCGTTCGGCTGATCATCCTCGTCAAAAGAAGTCAACGCGAGGGTGTATTCGGTGTGGGCGACCAGTCCTGACACGGTTGCCGAGGTGACTCCCGCTCCTGGTGCGGGGGAGAGGTCCTGGTACGAGCCCGACCCGTCTGCCGGCTGGTACCGGAGCGTGTAGCGCGAGATCGGAAGATTCCCGACGACTGTCCAGGAGACGTTTAGATGATCCATCCTCGCATTATCAAGGGCCAGTCCCCAAAGCACTGCAATTGTATAATAAAGTCATTTGCATCGCTAATAATTATTTTTTTGTCTATAGACTTCACCAAATGGAACAACATAGACCTACTGGTAATGTTGCAGCCTAGAATCTCCACCCTCATGGCGATGTAATTATTCCAGGACTGAGGGTAGAAGCGCACATAACGGGCAGTAAATGGGTTGTCCAGTAGGTTCGTTACAGGTGTGTTCTTGTCCGTGTTGCCTGTCAAAACCTACAGGATGAACGGATAATTTAAATGAATGCATTTTTAAAGGAGTACTAACCTCCAGAAGGAAGTGCTATTTTCCGATACATCATGCTGCAATGAATACATAACTAGCCGACTTTTTACATAATTTCGCCTGTACGAGTTGAGCGGAGCATGTTTGTAAAGTGATATTAATATCATTTTCCCCCATGCTGAACCACAATTGATACATCCGGGAATTCTGGCTTACGCAATACTCATACACTTCAGGTTAACATAAACATTTTTCGGCGAAAATGGTAGGAGACAAGCACATTAACAAGCTGATAATTGAGAAATTACTTGCTTTACTTTGCTTGACCTGTGGCTTGGATGTTATAATATCAGGATGTCGAATACAGTGGGAGCCAGTTTCATCCTGCGTGTTTTGATTTTCTCAACTTATTTGCATGTAAGTATCACTTGAACAGATAATTAGATTACGCCACTTTTGGAAAGGATAACTAGATTACGCCGTTTTTTTATCGTCAATATTTGCGGCATAAATGAGGGGCGATAAGGACACCAAGAAGGGCAATGGTTGGTAAGATACCAAAGAACACAAAACGGTATGAATTTTTCTTATCGCCCCCAAAATGAGGTCTGTAACGTAACTTTTTGTTTAAAACATAGACACTAATGGGGTAGCGTGGTGTATTATGGGATAGTTTTGAGGGTATTTGGAGAGTTTGTCCTGGATTCGATGCGTTTTAAGACTTGCGCGCAAAATGATCATTTAATTGTATACTGTAAAATAATATGAATTTTTCAATTCCAAAAATAAATGCCTGTCGAAATATAGCACCTCCTTCTGGAGGTTAGTACTCCTTTAACTCCCGTCTACATCTTCTCTAATATCACTGACGTTCCATTAAATCATAAACAGTATCTACATTATCTATTGACTTAGACAGAGTTATCAGTACGTTCTCGACATTTTAAACTTAAGGTATAAGATACTCGGATATGTTTCCATCGATCAAATATGCTTTGCAGAGGAGACTATTAAAGAACATGACTGTACGAAAGTTGGGGCAGTGTTAATGTTGTATTTTAACTGGGATATGTTTTATACAATATAAAAATGTATCCATAGATATTGCATGTTAAAATTCATGACTTTTTTAAAAGGTGTCTATTATTAAGTAACCTCATCTGAGCCAGCGCTTCCGGCATATGTCGTCCAAAAATCTCCATCTCCACTATACTCGAGCTTGTACGACGTCACCCATTGTTCCTGATCAGACCATGCGCCACCCTGAGTGATGGTGCCCGTGACGCGCTTTGGTTCTCCTAAATCCACCTAAAGGCAGAATGTTTGGTGATAATTCAACCAATTGCCTATTAGTAAGAGCATATTACCTAGCTGATGATATTTGACACGTAAGCTTGCATTCAAAATTAAGCAAAACAACTTTAAGTGTGTTCATCATTTCACGTGTAATCAAAAGGTCAGGTGCTGTTCTTAGATAAATAGATTATCTTACTTATAGCATTTTACTTAGATAAAGAACCAAGATTAGCTGCTGTATTCTAAAACTGACCCTGTTTGAAAACATGCCATAGCAAGCAACGAAACAACTTATTTTCCAATACTGCAGTAGATTTTGCGATGGATAGGGTCACCCTCGATAAAGTTAACTTAACAAGAAATAAGGCTTTTCTTCAAATAAGTTTTTTTAAATCTATACCAACCTGCAACCATTGTCCGATGTTGCTGGCACCTGGTGCCCAGCCGCCCCAACCAGCCATTTCGTTCAACCTCCCGTATCTGGGATATTGATTAGGATTCCCGTAGTGACCGGTAGTGATGCTGTCATCAGGTATGGCACCAGATTCCATCCCAAGCGGATTCTGACAGACTGGGAGGAAATATATATTATATATGTTTTGAATTTCCAAAGAAACTGTATAGCGAAATGTTAACTGTACTTTCTGAAAAACTACACGGCAGTTAATTACATTATATAAGAGAATCTAACAGTGCAAGGATCCCTGACTACCACATGCAGATAGCCACATGTGGTGTGCTTAATGGTGTTAGATGTTAGACGGCAGTTGAAAATACATGTCATGTTTTTCTTACAGTGTTTTGCCTGTATGCCTGTTAGGTTTGTTGTTAGAAATCTAACAAGAGAATATAACAGTACACAAGGATCACTGATTACGTATACCACATGCAGATAACCACATGCAGATAACCACATGCAGATAACCACTTAATGGACCATGATGTTAGATGTTAGACGGCAGTTGAAAATGCATGTCAATCATTGTTTCAAGTTCTTACAGTTTCTGCCTGCGTGGCTGTTAGGTTTGTTGCATACAAGAGAATTGTTTCTAACAAGAGAATCTACCTCACGATAGCCACATGTGGTGTGCTTAGTAGGGTTAGAATTGTTAGACGCCAGTTGAAAATACGTCATGTTTTCCTTACAGTGTCTGCCTGCATGGCTGTTAGGTTTGTCGTTAGAAATCATAACTAAAGATTATCAAAAATCCATGTCATATTTTCCTCAGTGCCAACAGCAGCCAAGGAGTGTTTAGACATTATCAAATAAGTGATGTTTTTAGATGTTATGTTCTCCAAAAATGCATGTCTGCGCTAGGAGTTGCAGGGCCATCACCATGGCCTTGCCCCTATTGTGTGATTGAGATGACCACACCCCTTCGTGTAGTTAACATGTTTTTTTTTCAATTCCCAAGGGAAAGCCTAATGCTATGATCAATTACGATATTTGCATTTAACTTGAGATAAGGTCAAGAATCACCTGAATTGATTTTATGCCCAAGTGAAATATAAAAGCATACAGCAGAGTGAATTATTCCCTTGGTGGTTACCTCTTAATGGTCCACCTAAATTGTCATTCAATAGGCTGTTTGTGTAGGTTGTTACCCCTTATCCACCCAATCCCTTTTTGCAGACTGTAGGTTCTGAAATGTCCCATGCTCTACTAAGTCCAATACCTTGCCACTACTGAATTTTGGATACGAAAAATATAGTTTCTTTGCAGTTTTTTTTTTGCTGCTATGAAAAAAACGATTTTTTCCAGGCTAAAGGCTAAAAACGGAAAAAATATAGGTTTTTGCTATGAGTTTTCACCACGCCGAAAAACACTACAATCAGAAGGTTTTTCGATCAATTCAAAACCTGTTTGAAAATCTACAACGATAGCCGAGCTATGGTGAGCCAAACCTAGCGTGACAACCTCGCAGACCCGGCGATTTACTGCGCACTTACTTACACTCTGGTCAGATTTAAACTCCGACCCGGAACCCTAAGTGTTTCGAACCCTTTCTAATTGCAGTTCGAATCGATCCGCGATCCCTAGCAACGCCGTTGCTAAGGAAACTCTTTTCGCGCGGCAGTTGGATGAAATTTCATCCGACTTCCACAGCTGCGTTGAGTCTGGTTGGCGGCATTATTACCTACGTTGCGTTACATGTACCAGACGGGAATGCCATGTGATCTCGATATGATCAATTTTGGAGGGTTTTACAACGTATTTTGTTAGATAAATGGTCAGAATTGCTTAACAGTGAAATCGTCAAAATGGCGGCGCCGAGCTAAGCTAAATTTTGGACGAAATTTACATTTGGGGCATTGGCATGTCGCCCTCAATTCTGTCTTATATGGCAATATTGACTAAGATTCTTTCAATCTTCGACTATGTCTCTTGTGAAAATCTTGTTGGATCAAAATCTGGAAATGTTTGTATATTCATATCTACCGGGGCCACGTCCTCGGTCGTTTTACGCCAAAAGTTCTAGAACGTTGGTTTAGTTGATTCTAGTACAACCGGCGTTTTAGCACAAGTTGCGGTACTAATGTACCTTCTCAATATTGTCAAAGGATGCCTACAGACACAAACTACGTAAGTACGAACTTAATCAGGAAATGCTTTCTTACTCTTGCGCGTATTATTACTAAAACCCAACAGTGTGGGTCTGGCGTCTGGTCTGTGGAACGCGCTTGAAGCCTGCGCGGACACGTTCTGTTTTTGGAACGAAAATCCGATGCCTCTGATGAGGTGGCCTCGCGCGATTACAAAAAAAGCTCATTACGTCCTCAAAATTCATAACAACTTATATACGGACAGAAAGTAGAGACTTGAGGCAATTTTACTTCCTTTTTGTTTTGAAAAATGAAATAAGGTAAAAACACCGGAGGAATTTTCATCAAAATCAAGTAGTTTCAGGTCATATTGAAATGAGTAGAGATTAACAATCGTTACAAAAAGTCACTAGGAGTAAAATAGGAAGCTTATATTCACAGATACAATGCCATGATGAAGATACATAGTTGTAAGCAACAAGCTTTGTAGTAAGAAGTCCGGACTCCCGGGGGTTATAGAACGTAAAATTGTCTCAAAACGGCGCGCGGTTCGCCCTGGGAGTCAATCATAAATCTTAAGGTCATATTTATATCATATCGGATCTGTGAATCGACTTGAAACTCGAAATCCATACACGGGACACCATTGTTATAATTCCACATGAAAATTTGCGTTCTACGGAGCGAGAACCTGTTCAGAGTAGATGATAACTAAAAATGTCAAACCGGGCTCGTTCTATTCTGGAATCAAAATTATGACATGACCTCGCGCGTTTTGAGGGCATCTGCATGTCGCCCTTGAAAACGATGACACGTTATATATCAACAAAAAGTAGAATCTTTGCTCTTTTATACACAGTAGATTTCCTGTTGGATCAGATTCTACAACAAGTTAGAAATGAGAAGGGGAATTGCACGAAAATTACCTGCTTTCAAGTCAATTTTTAAAAAGGATCACGGTATGTCATTGCTTAAAAACTGTATAGGAGTAACAAATAAAGCTTACATATTATCAATAAGTTAAAGTTAGGAGGATAAATGGTTGTAGACCTCAGCTACAAGCTTTCAGGTAAGGCGTGTCCGCCTCCGAAATCATGGAACGCACTACTTTCTCTCGCGGAAGGAAAATAAAACTGCCTCGAACTCTCGACGTGGCGTGGCGGCTGAACAACATTTGAACAACATATATGCAGTGAGGATTTAAAAAAAAATTGGACAAGGGAGTCCCTGTGAAACGTTAAAAAATACGTGATACCCTTCCCCAAATTGGAAATTTTACCCTAGAATTTGACCGCCGTGAGTCCCCAACGTACCCCATTTGTAGCAAATGCTATGCTATAAAAAAAAATTCAAATTTAAACATGAGTTTTACCTTCACCAGTGACTGAGGCAGTCTTCGCCATCAGCACCACGACCATCCACCTCCAGAACCCGGATGTACACGGGCCCGTCATCGTGTCAGTGTACACCACCTAGACACAAACCACCAGTTAGGAATTGCATTCTAAAAGTCTGCAAGTTTACAATCTTATTAGTTCCAACAAATAAAAATGCAATCTAAAATAACTGTCATTAACAAAGCTTAGCTTCCATACGGGTCTACACTTTTGTCTCGGAAGGTGGCACTATTGAGCAGGTCCTGAATATGAAGTATATAACGCACTGCAGTTAATAACTCTGATTTGGTGTTTTCAAACAGGTGACGAGACTTGTCCAACAACTTTCGGTTGACCTTGAGACCCGTGTGTGGCTTGTGTTGTGTTGTCGTGTACATAATTATTCCACATTGACTCCTGTACATCGTCTTGTGTATTTCTACTGTAACTTGATAGAAAATTCGATGGCTTAAAAAACAAGCTGTACTATTGACCCGTCCTTCTTAACATGTCATTTACCATTGAGAAAATTTAAATTTGGAAAGTTTCCATACAAATTAAATATCTGAAACATTATCATATCTTTCATCAGCTGTAATCGTCTCGTGTAAAGTATTTTAATCGTACAAGTCGCCTTGTAGTGGGTATGCAAAATGGGAAAGCCTTGTTGACAATGGCTTGGGAAGGTCTGCCATGACACCGGGGCACCAAACGAGCTGGAAGGAAAATCTGCCCGAGGACAAGTTGTCTATACTTGGTTTCTGTCCTGTCAACCATAAACGCAGCAGCGTATACAGCATGAAGATGACTTAGTGCATAAGATCTGAATGCACACTGTTTCGACCTGTTTTATTTCTCAAAGTTACAATACATCCGTGAATAGTTTCATCAGGTTGCTAATTCACCGAGTAAAGAGACTCTTTTGTTTTTCAAACCAAAGGTTCGTTTGGTTGTGTAAAAAGATTTTCTTTACTCTTCAACAATTCATGGCAAACAATAGACGAAGGATCTGTTCTTTCACACTGATACGTCGGTCGTAACTCCAATCATAAAGGTTGGATTAAGATATTTTCAGTGTTGGTACGTATATGCGTCACAAAAATCACAGCATGGCGTCTGTGTGACCCAACAGGGTAAAAGTGTGACACAATAGCGGCCATGACCTCAGAAAGACTACGATTGGGTTTAGCTACTCGTGGGTGAGGTGGTTGGCAGTTGGTCGGCGGGATTGCTGACTATAATGAATGAATGAAGACACAGGTCGCATGGGTACAGAACATGAACATAAACATATATATTACACACATATGAACATATAAGAGTGTAAATAAATGTCTAATTTCTATTCTTTTCGGCTTCATCTCGCTTAGTAGTGATTGTATGGATATATGCGGCTGTGAGATTACTTAGAGTAGGTTTGTTTGAATATGATGGTTAGGATGTTTGCACAGTATTAAACTGGCTGCTCTCAACAGACCTCCGGCAATGACTGGGCATAGGTCGAGAGAAAACCAGTCCTAAAGGAGGGTCTGCAAGGGGAG